GAGGAAGTACATTTGTTATGTCCAGTGTAATAACATAAGAAGCTCCGTTTGTAACCCGTTTGTTACCTTCTGTTAGTGGGTGGCAAGAATGCCAATTATGTAATCAATTTAATGCTATTTGCACCTGAAAAAAGTTTAGTGTCTTATTTGCACTTTTACCCCCACCATATTGGCTAATTTGCCCCTTTTCCCCATCTTTTCCTAAGGCCACTTACCTTACCATCGCTGACCTGCACTTCTTGATCATGCACTTTTTGTTTCATTTTTTCATAAAGACTCGTATCATATGATTACAAATCCGGCAAACTAGTGCTATAATAAGACTTAAGGTTCCACTCTAAAAAGTAAAAAGGTGATTGACTTAAGTTATGTGTGATGGATTCTTCAACATCTACTCTCTGAAACTGTAGTAGAGAAGGTATAATTCATAAATGAAACAGAATATTGTGATTTTACTATTTTAGAGATACAAAACTCCATGAATTCAAGTTAAGAATATTTTGAGTCTGCTCTCAAAGGTGACACGTGTGCATGTAGGGTATAACAAACACATTTGGGGCGGTGCCTGGAATTGTTGGTGTTGCTCTTACGGGTTATCTTCTTGACTCGACTCACTCATGGAGTGTATGTTTCCACCTCTCTTGGCAAATTTTGCTGTCTGAGGTTCATCTTCTTATCAAGTTTTTTGGTGTTTGTAATGCAATTGCAGATATCTCTGTTTGCCCCTTCGATCTTCTTCTACCTTACTGGTACAATTGTATGGTTGGCTTTTGCGAGCAGTAAGCCACAAACCTTCATCAAAGATGATTAATTTTACTGCTGGGTCGGTCAGCGAGCAGTTTGACTGACAACATTGTACCACAAGTACTGTTGAACATAGTGAGGCTTCCATGTTTTTTTCTTGGAAGACCCAAAATTTCTCCTCTTCAAAGGCCCTCTATATGACAGGTAGCTGCATATTACATGATGTTTGATATATATATGGGAATATTCAGATACATTCACAATCCATGGATTATTATGTAAATCGAGGATACCAATATCAAGATATGTAATTATGATTTATGGAAAGAGAGGTGTAACAATGTTTGTTGCAAAACATTTATCCCATGGCTTTTGCATTTGACCTTGAATGTGTGGTTACTTGCATTGATTGAGGATTTGGTGTAGTTCAAAAGTTCTCGATGATGATAATCTCTTCGAAAGAATGATGATTTATATTCATGCAGACTCGAAGTTCTATTCTAATTTCTAAGTGGTTTTGTATGTGGACCACTGGAGTACTGGACCGGTCAGTCAGTGGCGGCTCAATATTTTTTACTATCAAAACTTTGAAAAACAGTATTATTTGAAATTAACACACAAAGTTTTGGGTGTTCATATAGACACTTTGAACTTATAATAGGTCTGCCATGTGACCTCATTATGAAACTGGTACATCTTGATTTATTATTTTGAGTTTAATCGAAATGGGATGAGTATGTTTCAATAAGTTATACGGTTATACCCAATGGTAGATCTAGGATAAAAACTTATTCGAAGAAGTAAAAAATGATACTGAAAAACAATAATAAAGTATTAATGTAATATTACATTAATTTTTTTTTATAACAAAATACATCACAATTGTTTGTGTTTTGTTTTCACCTTTTGAAGAGATTCATTACAGTTTCATTTATAACCGTTTCAAACGCATCTTTTTCAATAAAATAGATCAGACGATTACTCAAAAACTGATCTCCAACTATGGATGGACTTAGGGTTGGATTCGGTTCGGGCCACCCGGCCCGTGACCCGGCCCGGTCGGGCGGTCCGGGACCGGCTATGGACCCGAACCGGTGGGATTGGGCGGGGCGGGCTCGGTGCTGGATTAATGTGACCCGGCCCGGGTCCGGTCTTAATTTTAAATTTTTTTTTTTTTGGGTCTTGGCTAGTGGGCTACTAGCCGTTGGGGGTGGGGCTGGGGACAACCCAAACGGCTATATAGCCGTTGGGTGGGGTAAAGGGGGGGGGGGGGTCCGGGGGGGTTGGGTGGTGGGGGGTGGTGGTGGTGTGGGGGTGGGGGTAAAAAAACCTATAAATACTCCTAATCTTAAACATTTTTTCACATCTCTTCTTCAATTCTTCCTAAATCCTATTCTTAACTCTCTACTCTCTAATTCTCTTATTCTCCGATATATTATATTTATTATTTATATATCTACTTTATAGTTTATACTTAAGAAGTTAAGATGGAAAATCAAGATGCCATTATACGCAATTTGCAAATGGTGCGAGAAAAAATGTAGCATGGGGGTTTCAGGCGGATACGGGATGACAATCAAGCATATGAAGTCATGTGACAAAGCTAAAGGATCGGGAGGTGCAGGAAGTTCCGATTGATTACAATTTTCAAAATGTTTGTCTCTTAAAGTTTGTTTTAATTTTCAAATGTAGTTCCTATTTAATTTCAAATAAATGCACTTGAAGTTTGTTTTTAATACTCGTATAAAACTATAAACTATAAAATATAAATTATAAAAAAAAATTTAACCGGCCCGGCCCAAACCGGACCCGTCCAACCCTCGGGCCGGTCCCGGGCCCATGTCATACAAACCGGCAGCCCGACCGGGCCGGGTTGCCCGACCCGGAACCGGCCCGGGACCGGTACTGTTCCGGCCCGACCCAGTGGCCCGGTCAGTGACCGGACCGGGTAGGCCCGGCCTGTGGGTTTTCCGGTCCGGTCTCGGGTCACCCAAAACAAGGCCCGACCCGGCCGGGCCCGGGTCCGGTTCGGGCCAAAAACTATTTTTTTTTCAATTTTTTTTGAATTTTCGGGTTGGGCTGGGTATTTTGGTCCATTTGGGGTGGTTTGGGGGGTTGGGGGTGGGAGGGGGGTTAATTAGGAAGAGGAAAACAAAAAAAAAATATAATGGGCCCGGCCCGGACCCGGACTGGACCCGGTGGTTACCCGGGCCGGTCCCGGGTCCACCATTTCTGACCCGCCGGCCCGCCCGGGCCTAGGCCCGACCTGGCCCCGGCCCGGACCCGAGTCCATCCATATCTCCAACTTTATTTGAGGATATGGTCATTTTGGTGTAGTTCAAAAGTTCTCGATGATGATAATCTCTTCGAAAGAATGATGATTTATACTCATGCAGACTCGAAGTTCTATTTTAAGTGACTCTGTATGTGGATGGGTCAGTCAGTTGGCAACGGCCTACAACTTGAGATGCTCTAAATAGCTAGAATCATCAATTGTTTTAGTGCTATTGGCTAGAATTTGGCTGGGATATTACCGAGCTAAACTATAAAGTTGTCACAAACCCTCATTTTTTCGTTTTAATGAATATTTAAAAAAATCTTACCCAACTTTAGTGAAATGGAACTTAAGTTACGATATTTTCTAGAGTGAATCCTTGCTGAATCCATGCATTTGAGTTAGTCTCAATCTTATTAAATATTTAAATGCATCCGTACGTCATCATTTTATAAAGGAGGACGGCACAGTCTCATTGTTGGCATTGGCATGGACTAGTGGTGGACTGGGCGGGCTTCGGGCCTAAGAATTGGAGGTCCGGTACCGGGTCGGGCTACCCAGTCGGACTTCGGTCGGCCCAAGTCAGGTCGGGCTAGGAGCTAGCTAGGGATGGACTCGAGCCGGGTGGCCCGACCCGGAACCGGCTCGGGATCGGCACTGTTCTAGCCCGGCCCGACCCGGTGGCCCGGTCAGTGACCGGTCCGGGTAGGCCCGACCCGTGGGTTTTCCGGTCCAGGCTCGGGTCACCCAAAACAAGGCCCGACCCGAGTCCATCCCTAGAGCTAGCCCAACAATTTGAAACCCAATTTATTTTTTGAATTAATGACCGTTAGACCCGAACCGGTCCCGGCCCTACCAGACCGATCATCTACGCTCGCTGCTTCTTCATCTGGGTCGGGTCCCGGTCCCGATCAACTGATCCGGCCCTGCATTGTAGCGGGCCGGACCAGGTAGCGGGCCAGGTCAGGAGCGGACCGGGTCGGCCCATCCCAGTCTATTCCTGGTACCGATGAACGTGAATGCATTTTTAACTTTCAAACTTTCAATTGACTTTTAATACTCCCTCAATTTCAAATTAATGTACAATATGCATATGTGCATCATCATTTTATAATTGAAGTACCTTTTAATCTATAATTTCATATACGGGTGAATTCCCTAAATAGGAGTAAAAAAGTTTTGAAATTTCAAAATAGGACTATCATGTTTTTTATTCCTTGAATATGAGTACATTTTTGACAAGTTTGACATTACTAGGCTTTAAAACATTGCATTTTTTTCTCAAACTTGACAGATTACTCTTATTCAGAGAATAAAAAACATGATACTCCTATTTTGAAATTTCAAAACGTTTTTGCTCCTATTTAGAGCAATTTCTACTTCATATATTTATTATTTTTGATTATTTTATTCAATAAATTTCAACATATTTTTTGAATATGTAGATTTTAATTAATAATAATATTAATATACTACGTATATTACATTATTACTAAGGAAAAATAACTTTATTATTATTGGTCAATCAATGTAAACTAAACCAAAATCCTCAAAATGGGACATATGGATTAATTATTAGTAGTAAACAATATCCAACAACAACATTACCCAGAGTCGCTCTTACCTAAGGTGAGGTAAGAAGAGTAGGACGTACACATCCTTTCCCTTGTACTAAAGCACATATAAATTGTTTCTAAATAATCCCCGATGAAAATCACATTGAAAATTAGGGATGGACTCGGGTCCGGGCCGGGTCGGGCCTAGGCCCGGGCGGGCCGGCGGTTCAGAAATGGTGGACCCGGGACCGGCCCGGGTAACTATATGATATTCTCAAACCAAAATAGTGAGTATTTGACTTCATTAGAAATGATGGAATAATTAGTAAACAATATCCCATGACAATTAAACCCGTCAAGCGGTAATGCAGTAATGTACTATAGAATTCCCTGCTTGGAGATGATGTTCATCATATGCTCTTGCTCTGGGTAAACAAAAAAGGCTATCCCACATAAGAGGAATATAAAAGATACAAAGAAAATAAATTAAAAAACAAACAAGGAAGTTTTTTATTTAAGGAAATACAATTGATTTGTTATTATATATTATTATACGTATTAGGGACAGTTTGGTGCATCTTAGCGTCTTTGCCAGGTGAGGGTCGGGGAAGAAGGTACAAGGTGTATAGAAGGCGAGCCTTCATTTGTCATTTTGACAAGTGGCCGCTCTCAAAACTTAAACTCGTGGCTTGTAAATTCAAAGCTGTAAAGCTGGGAATCACTTCTGGATCTGTCCTAAGCAGAACAAGCAGGGAGAGACACATTTGGCATATGGGAAAAAACAATGGAAAAAGGAGCCACAATTATGGGCTCAGATGAGCTCACAACATGAGGCTGCAAAGCAGGTATCTGCCCTGATGAATCTACTCCTAATTCATTCCCATTCAACAGCATAGTTTGGCTATTCAAATCTCCACCCTTGGCTGTCAGATGATACTCTTCTCTCGTCTTTGCTTCTTTTTCATAAATCTCAGATGAACTCTTGCTAAGATTATGATGCCCGTGTCTCCCATGGCCTTTCGAACTTGTTTCGTTGTAATCAACTCTGATGACTACAGAATTGTTGCCATCAAGGTTGATCAGAAGTAATGTAATTCCTTGCTATAAAAGAAGAATGAAGATCAATCAATCTATCTTGGATTGAAAAAGCAGTTTTTATTTGGTTAAATTAAGAATTGGGATACTATTTAAAAAGGTCAATCTTATGGAGTTGACTCTCAATGCTTTATCTTTGTTAGACCATATTAGGACTTCAAGTTTTATTCCAACAAAACCATCCTCAAAAGGAGAAACAGATCAATGTCTTATACGTAGTATATGAATTTGTATCATTATTTCGGGGTTTGAGTGGAAATACTAATTTCAAAAAATAAGTCAAAATCTGCCTACTTTTAAAGTATTCCAAAGTAGTAACTAAATATGCCACTTTTAATATTAAAATAGATGCCCCAACTTCTCACTTGCAATGACACTGCCTCACCTATCCCTCTAACCACCCAAACTTGCAGCTGCAGTTTGGTGACTGTAGTTTCTGACTTTCTGGAGACTGGGCAGAGACAATGATTTATTGTTTTAAATAAGTTATTAAACTCCCTTTTATGTACTACATATAAAATAATTATCAGTCAGTTTTGTTTATTGAAGCTCTTGAAGTAATATTATAGTCATTGTTTCACATTTATTTGACCGTTGTGGGATTTCTTAATATGTTTAAATTGTTTATTGAACTTACAGATTGCTTTGCACAATGAGCGTAGGCACGTATTTTCTTTGTCCCTGAAAAGCTAGTTGCCAAAACATTTCTTCCCATTAACTGATGCCAAAGAAGTGCACTGCAGAGAGGCAACATTGCAACACATAAGGTCATGCAGTGAAGAACTAAACATGGATCAGGTATAGAGCAGAAACCCAGCCATTTGGCGCACAATGCAATATAGCATATATTCAAAAACAAGTTGAAAATCTAATAAACCTGTAGTAGTCTGGATTTGGTACAAAGGTAGTGGTGTTTAGCAAGCCATAGTTCCCACCAATCAGTGACTGTCGGCAGTACGTCTTTGTGTCATATGATGCAGACATCCCGAGCTGGTCAAGATACCTATTAATGATCATGTCTTTTAATCAAGATATTACCGTCTAAAGAAATTTACACTTCACATTAAGAATCCTAAAGTTTTCTTGCGCATTTCAACTCGATTACCAGAAGCTATAAATGAAAGCATTGGATATGTGATTGTGTCCACTGTTATAAGCACCTCCAGCCTCACCGACCCAACCACTCACTGAAGTTCCAGAGTTCTTGAGTATGCTATGTAGTTGACTAAAAGTACTGGCCTCATTGTCAAGATAAGATGGATTAAGGATTTTCTCCATAAGGTGCTCATCTACTCCTATTATCAGAGAAAGAAACTGCTCTTAAAATAGGAATATAGAACTGAACTGGGCAGTATATTATATGTGTGTGCGCATATTGAGATCTTAACAAGTGTACAAGGCTTCCGCTAATGTGAAATAAAATGTGAGATTTCATCCTAAGCGATCAACTGGTCCATACACGGAGAACTATCTTAAAATGTCAACCTAATAAAAGCAGTTACAAAACTAATACGTGAATTTGTATCTTTATGCTCAACAGGCGTGGATTTGCTCACTTGAGCTTTATTGGGTATCATACTACGGACTACATTAAAAATTAGGTACAAAACCTAAAAGGTCAAAGTAATAGGACCAGCTTAATGAGAGCTTGTATTTTTTGTTTGGCCGGTGTAGGATGATTAACCTGTTTGCATTAAGGTCCAGGGGAAGTCTCCAAGTACACAGCCTTACCCTATTTGCATAAATAGGTTGTTTTGAGGATTTGAACACATTATTAAGCTGTTAGCATGCAGTATATATATACTATATCTAATGAAATACCTGGGCCTAAATTGTATATGTGGTGACTGATGACATGCACAGCGTTGTGCGTTTTGTCTACAAATTCTTGGTACCAGTCTGCAACAAAGAATCCTCCTGGTGCTAGAATCAGTGGTTTAGCTTCTATGTCTTTGTATATAATTTGCACTAGGTCATGCAGATGGATCGTGTCATGGGCATACCGGTCTGCGTTAATGCTTACCCCCACTCCACTTCCACTCAATTCATTTCCTGAATATGAAAGGTAATACTATTATGCTAAAATTGATACAGGTATTAAGCTCAAAGCTAAGTAAGGATTGTGTTGTTCAATTGGAAAACAAGGCAATTAGGCTAAACCACACTAAAAGATCAAATCTATTAGTTAGTGCAACCAGATGTCTTGTTAACTCATTATTTTCTCTCTATATTTCTTTGATGTGAAACAAGCATGAGTGATGGTGGAGCGTCTACTTGCTATTCACTGATTCACCTAGCCACAGGTTCAAGCTCTTTAAACAGACAAAACGTACTTTTAAGAATAAAAATTAAAAGCTTTCCTAACCTAGCTCCCAACCGTAGATGGTGTACCCCTTTTTGACCGAATATCGAATCAAAGACTCAGCATTAGTTGAATCCCAAGCTTCATTAGTTTTTGCTGATCTTCGTCCATTGAGAGCGTTCAAGCCGAAAATAATAACAGCACTGGAATGGACATTAACTAGCATAATTGGTTTTTACTTGTACCCAAGCACAATATAATACTGATTGAATAGTAGAACAAGGAAGACCCAATCATTACCCAGATTTGTTGAAGAAAGTATTTAGCTCATCCCATCTGGACAAGGGCAGGCAGCCCTGGCTGAAATGAAACACTTCTGTGTCATTCTTAACAAATGGAAGACAGGGTTGGCTATGATCTTCAGTTTCATAGATAACGTTATCTTGCAAAGTGCCTCCCAACCTAATTTTTAGCGGTGAGAAAGCTGCATAGATAATTGCAGTAGAGATTGTAAGGATCCAATAGTTTGTTGGAGAAGACATAAAAGTGAAACTGGGTTGAACTTCAACAGAAAATTCATACCTTTTATGGCATTAAAAAATATGACATTGCTAAGATCCTGCACAATCAGTAATTAACAAATTTAGCAGGACGAACAAAAGATATACAAACGAAACAATCATGTGTGTTTGCTTTTTTTAGTTTAAGGGGAGATCCAAGTCCCTTCCCTTATAAACAGTAAGTCTAATAATCTTGAAGTTTATCAGCAAAATGCCTGCCTGGTTCAACATATTTGTTGCATCACTATTAGGATTCATGAAACAAGTCAAGTTACACAAATATTATTACCTAATGAGCTCAATAAGTCCCACCAAGGATATGCAGAGTGAGACATACACAAACCTTACCTCTGCCCTTAAAAGTAAAGAGAATAACTCCGTAGTGACTTCCGCTAAGAAAAAATGGACGTTATTGAAAACCTTGCAACTTTTGAAATTTTAGAAGATTTTATTAAAACATTGAAGTGGAATAAAAGGTTTCCATCATTTGCAATGGAGCCAAAGATTCATTATTTTTTGGCTTGAGATTATGATGGAATAAAGTAAAATGGCTCACTAAACTGTTTGCGCTTCTTTGTTATGAAGCAGCAGTCAGTCCATGCAATTTTGGACGGGATTTTCACTTTGGTCATCCGGAAACAATCTCTCTGTGCTTTAGTACAGGGGTAAGATTGCGTACATCCGACCCCCCTTACCCCACCGTAGGTGGGAGCCTTTGCGTCACTGGGGTAAATGAAAATGATTGAAGTGGAATAAAAGACATACAAATGTGAAATGTGTGTACATTGTGGAACCAAAGTAAACAGAAAAAGCCAAACAATACATGACATCATAAAAACAAGAATTATTAAAAAGCAAAACTTGTTATATCCTAAAAAGTGTTAGCCTAATACTTAGCTCATGTGTGACAAACTCTTCAAATAGCATGAACATGTCACGACAGAAAAGTAGATAAACAAGTTACATTGAGCTGAGGCAAGCAAATATTTTCTTTTCCATTTTCACCATTAAAAATGTAGGGATATAAGCTACAAACTATAATTCAAATTCCTGCTAAGAGGAAAAATTTACAAAAGTTGAAAATCCCAAAAAGATTCTTCAAGAACAAGAACATCTACCAAGTGCATATGAGATCCAATAAGTAATAGCAAACACAGAACATCAAACCATACCAAAATACCAAAAAACAAATCTAAACAAGAAGAAAGCTAATTGCATTTAACGAAGAACAAAACATACCAAATTTAGGAGAGAAGCGTGGTCCCAAGCACAAGTACCATAATCACACTTATCAGCTGGCCACCAATCTAAGGTAGCACATATGAAATCACTGTCTGTTCTTGCAATGGCACTCTTCCCATTCACAAACACAGTCCCTTCAACAACCTCTGAGCACCCAAAGTTGAACTTTAAACTAAACATACAACAAAATAACCATAAACACAACCTCGTACTCAAAACCCAAGAGTGACGACCCATTATAGGTAGCTGAGCTAGCTATCAAGTTCAAGATCTGTATACTAAATCTAATGTATGCGAAAGTTGACAACTTTAGAATGAAGAGTTTAAATGAGTGTACAAAAAAGCTGAGACAATGACGACTGATGAGATAATGTTAAGGAAATCAGCAAGTACTGGGAGTGGTATCATAAATAAGTAAATAAATAAGTAAACAGATGAATCAATAATGAGTATGGGATATTGGGATGAGGTTTAATGTGCTAAGCTGGGAAACAATATAATGGGAGGAAGTGAAATTCTTGAAGATATGAATAGTACAAAATTTGTTACCTGTCGGTCTGTTATATATCGCTTTTGTAGGTGGGCGTGAAAGAGAATCCTGAGGTCGACTGGCTAACAGCAAAGATAATACTACATCCCTCCCTAAAATTTTACCAAATTTGACCGTCACGGAGATTAATAAAGTAAAAACTGTGTAGTTTAGTTTTGTACAGAGAAAAGAGAATTAACTGGAACCACAAATTCTTTAATTGAAAGGAAAAGTGTCAAAGTAATGGGACATCGGAAAAGGGAAAAAATGCAAAATTTAAAGAGACGGAGGGAGTATTACCACGCATATACTAAGAGCGGGTTTGGCAAAGACCTTCTTTTGACTTATCAGACTTATAAATCAACATTTTCATCAACACATAACTTTTGATTCCGCACGATGTTGTGTAATAATAAGAAAAAGTAACATTGAAGTTAATTTTCTGGCTGTAACGCCTGAAGTTATTATAGAGGATCATTTTAGCTATTTTTACATACTCCCTCCGGATCTTTTTAAACTTCACAGTTTGACTTCACATTGATTAAGAAAATAAATTTGACTTTACAGTAGAGTACAACTGCTGAGACACTGTTTAGCACTGTTTTGATGTAGATTTCTTTGCCCAATAAGGAAATAAGGAAGTGTGAAGTTTATTTTGGACCGTCCCAAAAAGGAAAATGTGAAGTTTAAAAAGATCCGGAGGGAGTATAATTTTTATTTTATTACTCCCTCCGTCCCGTTGGAATGTTCCCGCTTTCCTTTTTTGGATGTCCCGTTGGAAAGTTCCCATTTCCCTAAATGGAAAGTTATCCTACATCAAAACATGGTCAAACAGTGCAAAACAATGTCAAATAGTGTCGAAATAGTGTCAAAGAGTGTTCAAACAGTGTCAAAACAGTAAAATTTACCCCCTGGTAAGTTTATTTCCTTAATATGTGTGTAGGTCAAATCGGAAACATTCCAACGGGACGGAGGGAGTAAATAAAACATATTTTAAATATAATTTTTTCATAAATCAGCAGAATCAGCCAATTCAGCTACTTCAGTCAAAATTTCATAAAGTTCTACAGATTCAACCGATTCAACCGATTTTGATATTACCAAACGAGCTCTAAGTAAAGAATTATATTTTGTACTATACAATTCTCATTTTCTTATACAAAGTCAAAACAAAAGTTAATTATGTGATCAAAGGAGTACGATATTTTCTTGGTAATGAAACAACTACTTGAAGTGTTTATAAAGGTAATTATGTGAACAAAGTAGTATTTATAAAGGTAACATTAATATAAATTACAATTTTTGTTTGTTTGTTAACACAAGGTTATTCTAGTTCGTTCCATTATTATTGAACCCCCAAGATTTTACGAGAATTAACTTAGTGTGAACTGTGAAGTGTGATTTACTTGGACCACTCTGACATAAACTACAAATTCTTAAAGAGATGGGTCGTGATTCCATAACTAAATTGCACAAGATTAAAAATTAGAATAATACTCTCACGGTACTTGATTTTTAAGATTAATAATTATTTGATTTTTAAATACGGTAAACAAATGAATTCGAACTATTGTCCATAATTGGATAATCGGTTTTAAGAATCGAGTTTTTCCCCGAAATAATGCTAGTTAAAATAAATAATTCCTAAAATACTTCAAGTACTCTTACAGTATTTGAAGTGCCGACTTTCCTTAACCACGATAACTCAACAGTTTTTTGGAAATTATTTTTAACTCAGTAGTATTTTGGAAATTATTTATTTAATTAGCATTATTGCGGGAAAAACTCCTAAGAACCCGATGGAAATTAATGCTTGTTAATTGTTCACTTTGAACACATGTCTCATATGTTAAGTATATGAACTTCAAGTTTGCAAGTGTTATACAGCTTTCATGTGACCAATTTAATCAATATACTGGTTAATTTCTTTGTTTGTGGAGATTGTAAGCAGGACTATATTGAACATGTTAACAAATTCCATAAGAAGTATTATATGTTGATGACTTGAATTCGTCACATGCATTAGTCCTATAATAATAATGGACCTCATTGTATAACGGTTACATTCCTTTATAATTTTCCTCTTTCTGTTGGAAATAGTTAGAAGAAGAAGAAGAAACTCTAGTAATATCATTGAATGAAAACTAATTAACAAGAGACAATTAGCATGAGCTCGTAATATGGCCCTTGACCCTTGAGTTGGGCTCAAGAAGGCTAAGCTAAAGCTTGAACGTCACATGTACTCTTTAATGCCTTCATACATCACATGAACTTTAAGAAAATACTACGTATATATCCAAGTCACTTTTCTTTTCAAATTTATTTTCTACTTGGGGCAGTAAGTTTGGCTCAACTGGTTGTATATTCATCTCAAATTCACGCTTTGTGGAGATCTAGAGTTCAAATTCCAAGAAACGAGAGAGATTTTGCTTCCCATCGATTTCCTTACCTTCACATAGTAGCTCAGCGGCTAAGAATGAAGAAAGTGGTAACGGAGATGGCGAGCACCCGGTAGCTAAGTAGCATCGGGACGGAAACGGAAACGGGGTGGGAGAAACTCTAAACTCAAAATAGATACAGGTACGGCAAGGAAACGTCGAACTAAAAATTAAAATTTTACTGGTATAAGTAATGTTACCAGTTACCGATTACTAGTATTTGTAATGTCATTAAAATTTTCATACTTAATGACAAATAGGAACTAGGAAGCATTTATCGGTTACCACAAATTAAAAATATACTGTAGTATGAAACTTCCCCAACAAATACGCCCTACGCAATACCCAGCTCTGCTTTAGCCGAGTCCCGCGCGTCCAGCAAAGGAGCGCAGCAGCAGATTGGATTTCGCCGGTCACCAACTTCAGCTCTCACGTCTCCCGTAGTCACCAGCGTCTCCGTCACGGCTCGCCTATTCCTTCAGTATTGAAGCCCTCCGGCGGGTAGAGGGTGATGCTAGAGTCTTCGAGTCGCAGGTTTGTTTTAATTTACAAAAATCAACGAGAATCGGCGGATGTAATTCAAGCCCTCGGTTTTTTAAAAAATATTCAGAAACGCCGTGGCCCATTCTCATCCCGTTTCCGATACGTTTCATTCCCACCCAAAATACTAACCGCTCAGAAACGTTTCCCGGTGTTTCCCAGTCGTTTCCCGACGTTTCCCAGCGTTTCACGTTTCCGAAACGTTTCCGGGACGAAACTTGAGGGGGATTGACGTTTCCGTGCATCCTAGGCCGGTAGTAGGGGTGTGAACAACCCATTTCAAACTGAAAAATCGGACCGGACCGGAAAACTCGGAATCGGACCGAACCAGAATGCTATCCGGTCCGGTTATTAAAATATACAATTCCAGTTTCCGGCCCGGTTCCAAATAAAAACCGGATTATTCCAGTTTGAACCAGATTGAACTGGTTTTACTATATTTTAATATATATTAATTAATACTTTAACATAAAATAGCTATAAAATAATAATAATAATAATCTAAATAAAAATAGTTACATTGTATATTATATATGTTCATGTTATATTCATTTGTTTATTCTTAGTGTCTTAATAATAGAAATAACTAGCATTTATTATTTTACTCAAATTACTCATATCTTTCGTCTCTAAAACTAATGATAATAAATACTCCAACTTCATCAAAATATTACTTGTACTTTTGCTAAAAATAATTAATATTTAAAACATTGGTTAAACCGGTCCGGTTTTGAACCGGTTAAACAGATTCGGTTCCGGTTAAAAACCGTAATATGTCGGGTCCGGTTCGATCGGGTCCGGTCTGGTTTTTGATCGGTGCACACCCCTAGTCGGTAGCATGTGATCTTAGTCTTGCTGGATCTGTGAGCCGATACCAACAGAATCTGATTATGATCTAATCTTAATATACGTGCCTAAGGGCGTGTTTACTTTGCTATTAAAAACACAATTAGATTAGTATGACATGTGAAATAAATACACATGCTACTTAAAAAAATCTGTTTACTAACCAAAACAGGTGTTTAAAGTATCGCGTACTAGGCATATCACCCCCATGTATTAATTAAGTGGCACATCAAGTTTTTTTAGTTAACGCATTTACCCTTACACTTACCTTACCCCTTGTAACACCGTCCCCAATTATATTTACTTTTTATATAAATCATGTATTGAACCTTATGAACTGGTTGATGAATTTACGAGGTTGTAAATTTTTGTTATTACTTTTGTGTGAATAATGAATTGCACGTGGGGCCCACATCAGGAGCGGGAACCACCCGATAATTCTGAGACCACATATTATATATGTCTTGGTCTAGATAATATGTATATGGTGGTGGATATTCTAGTTGGGCCATGGAAAGGGCATAGGGTTGACCGTCTGGTCAAACGAGGCCCAATTACCGGTATTGGTAATTTAACGGAAACAGTCCGAAAAAGTTAAGGAATGTATATTCATTCTAAGGGCCCATATGGGTTGAGAATGTGTGATATATTTTATTTGGCCTGATAAAGTAAAACATAATTAAAACAGTCCGAGAAATACAACTTTCGGACCCGATTGTACAGTTCGGGACATAAAGGGATGACCTCCCACATGAGTAGGGGCCACCCCACGTTTTTGTGTGCTCAAAGTTGACTTGAGGGGATGCATAGTGTGGAGGAGTGGTGTAAATTGAGTGAGAGTGATTGGTTGGTATAAGGATGGTCATGGGTGGACCTCCCCTCTCAATTATCTTGCAATTGAGACAAAAGATACACATCACCTCTCACCCCTACCATCTAGCTCGACCAAGCATCCAAGAAAAGAGAGAAGCTCAAAATATCACCCTCCATTGGTGCACAATTCGAGTTCAAGCAATAGGAGTCCAAGGAGGAAGATTAAAGAAGGAAAAAGTTAGGAAAAGTGTGAAGGATTAAGGTAATGACCTTATAAATTATAATAACTTTTCCTCTACTTCTTAGATATCATATGACTAGGATTGTTCTACATGTTTAGAAGTGTAGAATGAGGGGATAGAAGGTATTTCTAAGTCCAAGAACAGACTTAGAAGCAAAAGTGGCCGGTTCGTCGGAAAA